AAATTCTTAAAAAAATAAGAGAGGAAGTTGAAGTTTTTACATAAAACCTAATAAGCTCAGTAAATTCTTATTTAACACAAAATATAATAATTTTAACAGTGTTTAACCAAGAAATGAAGTATTTAAACAAAAGCAGAATTAAAAAAAAAAGTAAATAAATAATAAAAAAAACAAAGAATTGTTTGGGAGTAGCAAAGTTGGAATTAGTCATACATACAGGGTCCCCTTTACCACTTCTCAGCTGAAGAATATTTCCCAGAGGATGAATGTGTTAGATCTGAACCCAGGACCCCAACCCAGTCAGCCCCTTATAAGTGTTCTCATTTTAATTAATTAATTTATTTTGAGAGTAAGAAAGAGAGAGAGAGAGAGTGTGCATGCGTGGGTGGGGCAGAGAGAGAGAGGGAGAGAGAGAGAATCCTTAGTAGGCTCCTCACTGTCAGCACAAAGCCCCATGCAGGACTCAAATTCAGGAACAGGGAGATCTTGACCTGAGCTGAAACCATGAGAGTCAGGCAACCAACAGACTCAGCCCCCCCCCAGGTGCCCCGCATTCTCATTTTAAACGGATGTTCTGGGCCCATTCAAATTCAAACCCGGAGAACTTTGAGTCACCCAAAGGGTTTAGGAACACTGCTGCTGGTGATGATCATTTTTAATGTAAACTATTCTGCAAAAGTGTTCTTAATTATTTTGATTTTTGTGTTCTCATCGTAATCTTTCTGTTCCTTTCTCTTCGATTTTTAGGATCAATTTTAACACAAGCAGTGTACATGCAATTCTGTAGAGAATAGGACCTAAAATCTGAGATATTGACTTCCTTTGTGGATGGTAACTCCCTTCCTCCTTATTGACTAATGACTAAGACTACTGTTTCCACACATCTTTTGCTCCGCAAACTAGAACGTTTCTTCATTTTTCTTACACTTCTTGCTTAATACAGTGTAAACCAAATAGAAGAAAATAAAGCATTATTAATTTAAACAAAACCTCAGTACTTTTACCATTGTTATTGACAAGCAACTATAAAACCTACTTGTTCCCTCAAAATAGAAAACAGTGTTTCTCTTAATGATGGGAGTAAGGGAGTGGATATAGGGAAGATGAGCAGGAAATAGATCAGAAATTCTTACAGTGCACACAATACAATTAAAACTTCACCATGGGGGCGCCTGGGTGACGCAGTCGGTTAAGCATCCGACTTTAGCCAGGTCACGATCTCGCAGTCCATGAGTTCGAGCCCCGCGTCGGGCTCTGGGCTGATGGCTCGGAGCCTGGAGCCTGTTTCCGATTCTGTGTCTCCCTCTCTCTCTGCCCCTCCCCCGTTCATGCTCTGTCTCTCTCTGTCCCAAAAATAAATAAACGTTGAAAAACTTCACCATGAAACTAGAAAATGTTCATTCATTTGGAGAGTTGTAGCCAGGCATTGGAGGAAATTAAAAGAAACCAGGATCTCATCCAGTTTATAATAAATAGTATTCAAATCTAAGACAACAAACAAATAAAAACTTCACTATACCATCTATTTATGACTAATTTTTTAATATTAAAGAAATTGTTGAGAAAAAGAATAAAATCGCCCATCCCATCTGCCTAAACATCATACAGTTTCTATTTTTGTGTATTTTTGCTGCCTCATTAAACCATACTACTTGTAACTTGTAGTTGTACTTGTACAACTACATACTTGTAACTATATTATGGATGTGATTTAGAATTCAGAGGTCGGGGGGGGGGATTTCCACTTAACATTTTATTATGAACATAATTTCTTTGTTAGTAGACTTTTTTTGTGCTGAAGATATTAAAATTGGAGGGAATAGGCCTGCCTCTAAATGTGAATATTTTAAAATTACACTTCTTTAAAGTGATCACATTGGATATTTATAATTTATGTCATGTTTCTGAAGTTCACAATACAGCATTCTCTCTTCACACATTAGTTCTATTCTGAGCCCCTGAGAACATATATAGTGGAAAACCCAGTTTTTTGAGGTGATAATGACTTTTGAAGGGTTGGGAGTCCTCAGAAAGTGTGTACAGCCCCCTTTTGCTTTTCCCTACAGTACTTGGCCTTCCTTTAAGTCTTGAGGACATTGATAATACCTGGGGCTACAGATTTGGTTACTTAAGAACTCCATTAAAATTCAGGCTGTAAATAGCTCATCCAGATACCTCAGGGTCGGTCATTGCTCACCTTTAATCTAAACCCCGCAGCAAACCCCTGGTGGATGGTGTAGTCGACCAGTATGAATACCCACGACCACACCTGGAGTTCACTGCCGAACCTCTCTTATCCAGGCCAGTGGGTACATTAAAACCCACTGCTGTCTATGGAGAACTCTCTAGCAATCAAGAGCAATGAAAAAGAAGTGGCATAAAAAGAATATTTAGTTTACTTATTACATGCTCACCATCAGTACCATACCAGTATGCTAGGAGATTGCAAGAAGCCTAAAATTAGTTTCTGAAATTCCTCCTCTGAAGACAGGATATACACAGCACAGCAATAGAACTAACAATAATGTGTGAGTTCATTTGTGAGGCATGCTCTAACTAATTTATTGATTATACTCGTTAAAGATACCAAAGTTTGTAGATGATATCATGTTTGATTCAGTGGCAGTTTGACTTACTTGCATTCTGAGATGTTCTTTCTTGAGGGAGAGGGTTTGGATGGTTACAGCCAGTCTTGGAAAGCACCTGAGTCAGATAGAGGGTGTCCTAGATGTGCATACCAGTTACCATCTGTTTGGCAGTAGGTAGAAAGCCAAGAATTGCTGTGAGGGGGCACAGAAATACAAAGGTGGGGTAGAGAAAATGACAGTTGTGAGCAAACAAAAGGGTCTGTTTCAGATGTGCACTGGTCATTTCCTTTTAGTGTGTCTCTGATGTCTTCTTTCACGTGTCTTTAAAGGGACATCTGATAAAGAGGAAGAAAGTACAATGGATTAAACCATAACAAGAGTATTTACTTATTTATTATATTTCAAGTTTTTATTTAAATTTTAGTTAGTTAACAAAGAGTGTAATATTAGTTTCAAGAGTAGAATTTAGTGATTCATCACTTACATATGACACCCAGTGGTCAACACAGCAAGTGTTCTCCTTAATGCCCATCCCCCATATAGCCCATCCCCTGCCCACCTCCCTCCGGCAACCCTCAGTTTGTTCCCTGTTGTTAAGAGTGTGTTTCATGGTTTGCCTCCTTCTCTGTGTTTTTTTTTTCCTTTCCCCTATGTTCATCATCTGTTGTGTTTCTTAAATTCCACATAAGAGGGAAATCATACAGTATTTTTCTTTCTCTGACTGATTTCACTTAACATAATACACTCTAATTCCCTCCACATTGTTGTGAATGGCAAGATTTTGTTCTTTCTGATTGCTGAGTAATATTCCATTGTACATATATACCACATCTTCTTTATCTATTTGTCAGTTGATGGACATATGGCATGACAAGAATGGAAAGATATATGGGACCCAATTATTTTTATTGAGGATGCAGACCCTTTAATTTAATCATTTCTTTTCACAATGTAAAAAATATAGTAGAAATACAAAGTCCAAGTAGGGTATAGGAATGGCCTTTGGTTCTGACATAATATGAATATGATATGAAGTAGAGTAGTTGAATGAAGATCTTTTTTCAGTGTAAAATACAGTAACGTCCAAATGTTTATAGTGCCTCAGCCTTTGAAATCTGGAAATTTAGAGATGGACCATTATGGATGAGTTTCTACAGTAACATCATAACTAGAGGCCATCATAAATTCGCATGTGTGAGAAGAAATAACAGGAGTAAAAAAACCTTTAAAAGAATATTTTTAAAGCAGCTATAAATGAGTCATCTGTATGTGCAAGTAAGAAACTACATTTTAAGTTTATTTAATTTTAGTTAAGTTAAATTAAGTACCCACATGTGCCCATTGTCTATCATATTGTTAAGGCTTTAAAATGATTTGAAGTCAAATTGCATAGTAGTACATACACCTTGCCAGATAGTGAATTCATTAACTAAATATCATTTTGCATCCAAGATTCTTTGACTTTTAATTTTTTTTACTTTGTTCTAAGTAGAGCCATTACCACTGCTGACTTAGCTTATCTTTAAAACCCTATGTCTTTTACTTTAAAAAGTTATTCTAAATCATAAACCCCAAAGTGCCAGTTTTAGGAGAGAGCAAAATAATGGATGCTGTCTACTCTGAGGGTAAGCTCATCATACACTTTTTTACATTTAAAATAAATTACAAAACTGAAATGTTTGGGAGTGCAATGTACTGATGTCTACAACTTACTTTGAAATGCATTTTCAAAATGAATTGATGGAGGCACCTGGGTGGCTCAGTTGGTTAAGCTTCTGACTCTTGGTTTCTGCTCAGTTCACAATCTCATGGTTTCGTGAGTTCAAGCCCCACATCAGGCTCTGTGCCAGCAGCTCAGATCCTGCTTGGGATTCTCTCTCTCTCTCTCTCTCTCTCTCTCTCTCTCTCTCTCTGCCATTCCCCTACTTGCTCTGTCTCTGTCTCTCTCAAAATAAATAAACTTAAAAAAATGGATTGAGGGGCTCCTGGGTGGCTCGTCAGTTAAGCATCCAACTTCGGCCCTGATCATGATCTCACGGTCCATGAGTTCGAGCCCCACGTCGGGCTCTGTGCTGACAGCTCAGAGCCTGGAGCCTGTTTGGGATCCTGTGTCTCCCTCTCTCTCTGCCCTCCACCACTCACACTCTGTTTCTGTCTCTCTCAAAAATAAACGTTAAAAAAAATTTTTTTAATGGATTTATGGATAGATTGATAGTAGATATGTGATAAAATACAGGAAAATGTAAACAATATATGGGTGTTCACTCTGCAATTCTTTCAACTTTGCTGAAAGTTTCATAATAAAATCAATAAAGCTTCATGATAAAGTGTTGGGAGGAATTTAAATGTAAGCATACTAAGTATTTTAAAGTGTACTTTTTTCCTCGAATCTCTCACTTCTCTGTTAAATAGAGCCAAGGAGCAATAACAGAACGTTTACGAAGTTTTAGTATGCACGATCTAACAGCTATCCAAGGGGATGAGCCTGTGGGACAAAGATCATACCAATCTCTACAAGAAGCAAAAAAGAAAAGTAAATCAGTCTCTGGTGAATCAGCAGGTGTGTTTGTTTGTTTTAATATATTTTCCTTTCACGATTAGAATTTTGAGTCCAGGTAGGTACTAAAATAATACATGGTAACTATCTGAATTTGAGCAGAGGGAAATTTACTTTTAAGCTTATGTTGCAAATTTAGCCTTAACTGTAGTTCTCGTTCTCTAAATTTTCTCTGAATAAAGTTGGTGCTTGCCTTTTGTTGACTCCAGAGATAATCCAACTAAGAAAGTAACAGTAGCCTCTTGTGTTGCCATGAATTTTTAGAAACCTTGGGTGTGATTATTACCACCTCCCTGCCACCAGCACCAGTTCTGACTTGTGATCAGTGCTCTTTCTACTCAAGTCATGTGGAGACATCTGAGTGTTATAGTTAAACACTCTTTGCTGTAAATGCTATGAACAAATAAGGATATTGACTCACAAGATAAAAAGTTTTAAGTGGGTGACAAAGGGTGACTCAGTTTGTAAATAGGATTACTACAATGGAAAATATGTTGAAATTCCATAGTCTAGTTCAAGAACTAACTTGTAGGTATTTCTAATATAAATTATGAGCATGGCATAGTTGATATGTTCTAAAACTTTGATAAAGCATTCTGCTCTTAGAAATATTCACATAAATAAAAAGACATACCTCCTTAGTTATTTTGTCACATATAAGAAAATTGTAGTTCAAGGCTCAGATGAAAATTAAGATCATTATGACATTTCTTATTAATATATTATTAACTCCTTAAGGTACAAGGCTTTTTGGTGTGTGTGTGTGTGTGTGTGTGTGTGTGTGTGTGTGTGTGTTTAGGTAGTTTTCTTTTGAGGGAGGTTAAAAATCACCCTTTACATTGAAACCAATTTGAGAAATAAAACAACGGTCCCTTCTTACAGACAAAAAATAGTAAACTTTTTCTGAGTTCTCTGTAGAATGAATAACTTTACCAAGTTGGTGGCTGTTACCTAAAAGGTAGTAATTAAGCATTAGCCATTGATTGAGGTAGTAATATTTTTAAGAATGAGAACCAGTGAACTTTGAACCATCATCCTTAATACATTAACAGTGTAAAAGTAGTTTATAATATAGGCATTTTCTTAATATACATTTAAAAATTAGATATACTGATTTTGATTATGGAGTCTGCTGTATATATTTTGCTTGATTTGGAACAGTTATCTGACAACTTTATCAGCAGTTTATTCATAATTATACTTTAGAATTGGTTAAGAGTGATATTCTAATAGTTAAATGAAAACAAGATTACAAATATGAAAATGCGTAGCTATTTTTGTGATATTCATCTATTAAACTTAAAATAATGGGGCTAAAATATTTTAAGGTAGTAAGATGCTATTTAGGTCTTCTGTTAGATTTTAAGCCATGAAATTAAAACAACAAGATTAGAGAAATATGAAGTAAATAGTAGCAGTACAAGAAAGGAACTTATTCAGTTATTAAATTAAAATTTTAATATGCATTACTTTGCACAAGTTCTAAGTTTCCTACAGAATGGTACATACTTTGAGCCCTCTTCCCTAAGGAAAAAATTTAACAAAAACAATCTGTCTTAAAAATATTTTTTTAGGGGGCGCCTGGGTGGTTCAGTTGGTTAAGTGTCTGACTTCGGCTCAGGTCATGATCTCACGGTTCGTAGGTTCAAGCCCCGCATCAGGCTCTGTGCTGACAGCTCCAAGCCTGGAGCCTGCTTTGGATTCTGTATCTCCCTCTCTCTCTGCACCTCCCCTGCTGATGCCCTGTCTCTCTCTCTCTCTCCCTCTGTCTCTCTCTCTATCAAAAATAAACATTAAAAAAATAATATTTTTTTAGGGGCTTCTGGGTAGCTCAGTCGATTAAGCATCTGACTTCAGTTCAGGTCATGATCTCACAGCTCGTGAGAGTTTGAGCCCCACATCGGACTCTGTGCTGACAGCTCAGAGCCTGAAGCCCGCTTCAGATTCTGTCTCTGTCTCTCTCTGCCCCTCCCCGCTCATGCTCTGTCTATCTCTCTCAAAAATCAATGAACAAACGGGGCGCCTGGGTGGCTCAGTTGGTTGAGCACCCAACTTCAGCTCAAGTCATGATCTCAAGTTCATGGGTTCTAGCCCCGCGTCGGGCTCTGTGCTGAAAACTCAGAGCCTGGAGCCTGCTTCAGATTCTGTGTCTCCCTCTCTCTCTGCGCCTCACCTGCTCATGCTCTGTCTCTCTCTGTCTCAAAAATAAGTAAAAACATTAAAAAAAAATCAATGAACATTAAAAAAATTTCTTTTTTAAAAAGTGATAAGGTTCCAGGACAGGAAGAGTTGAAGAGAAGATAATAATAGACAGTCTATATAAACATAAGTCCAAGATATACATGGAAATTCATCAGATGAGAATGATGGCCTTTCAGGCAGGTGGGGGAGGTGTTAGGATAATTGCTAGACTTAGAAGATGGGGTAGAAGATGAAGTTATTCCTCTATCTCAAACCTTTCATCAAAATACTTAAAAGATTAAGACTTAAATATAAGATACTAAGCTATAATATAGTAGGAAATTCCTGAGTATATATTTAAACCAGAATTCTTAAGCATGACATCAAAACTAGAAGACATAAGGGAAAAACTTGAGAGGTTTTTCTATATAAAAAATATATATATAACATATAAGGGAAAAATACCATACAAAACAAACTAGAAGAAATATTCTCATGTGATACAGGCAAAGGGTTCAGATTTTAACAATACAAAGATTTCTTTCAAGCCAATTATTGTTAATTCTACTAAAGAATACAGCATGAAAAAGACATTCAGCCTCACACACAAAGAAAGAGTAAATTAAAATAGTAATGACAGTAATTTTTCCTCACCAGATTGGCAAAAATATTTTTTTAATTAGCAGTGCTCTCTGTGTTGGTAATTATTCTAGTTATCTGTTTCTGTGTAACGAACGAACTATAAACAGTGACCTGAAAAAGTCACAGTCATTTTTTTGCTCATGAACCTGGGGGAGACTGGGCTCAGGGAGGGAGATCTTGCTCAAGGTCTTAGGCAGCTACAAACAGCACCTGGGGCTCGAGTCAGAATCTCAAAGTCTTCTTCATTCACATGTGTGCTGTTTCAGCTGTGAAGAGTCAAACAGGTGATGGCTGAAACAGTTGGGGCTTCTCTGGCCTCTCCTTCTCAACATCTCTCTACATGGTCTCTGAGAGTGTGGGGGGCTTCTTATCTGGCAGCTAAAAGCTCACAGAGAGGGTGTTTCAACCCAAGTGGCAGAAGTCATGCAGCCTCACTTCCGCCTCATGGCAGTTTGTTGAGACTGGTACCTACGAGAGGAGGAGGGGCGCCTGGCTGGCTTAGTTGGTGGAGCGTGCAACTCTTGATCTCAGGGTCATGAGCTCGAGCCCTGCATTGGGCAGAGAGATTACCTTAAAAAGAAAAAAGGAAAAAAGATTTAATAGAAGAGGAGAAAACTGTCAGAATTTGTGGACATGTTTGAAAATCACCACAGCAAGCATGTTGGGAAACAAACACTCTCATACACTTTGTATGAGAGTTTAAAGTGGAATAATCCTTTTGATGACAATCTGGCAATAATTATCAAAATGTGTTCCCTCTAACTCAGCAAGAAACTTCTAAGACTATGTCATAAAGAAATAATCAGACAAGTGTTCAAAGATGTAGGTACAAGAACAATTAATCTCGTTGTTTATAGTAACATAATATTGGAACAAACTAAACGCCTAAAAGAAATGCTTAAGCAAAAGCATGGTTTATTAGCCACGAAAATTGATAATGTCGTTCTCTACGTACTGACATAAAAACATATCCAGATTGTGGGGAAATAAACAATAACAAAACAATCTGTGTGTTATAATCCAGCACTGTAGAGACACAATAAATAGATGAAATGAATTAATATATGTAAGTTATTTTTCAAATGTGTATACATAGGGAAGAGTCTGGAAGGGTATTGCTAAAATGTTAACAGTGTTCAGTTCGAGTATGGGACTTCAGTGATCTTTTTTTTTTTTAAATCAACCTATTTCCTAAATCAGAAAGAACAGTACTCTTTCTTTTGAAAAACAACTCAGGTACTCAATTTTTAGGTCATGAATTATTTTTTATTTCATTTACTTCCAAAATTCCTCAAGAAAAAAATAAGTTTTTCAGTGTGGTAATCGCATTCACATTGCAAAGTCTTTTTACTTGTTCATGTGATTAATACATTTACCCCAGATGATCTGCTTGTTCACACAAGCAAACTCAAATTATTTGGAAAAGTGGGTCCATTTTGAAAACTCCTCATGGCCTGCTCTGACTGGTTTGAGGTTGGCTGGTCAAGAAAAATTCTGCTTTGATGAAGCTATTCAAATCTTCATGTTGTCACCATGGCAAAAAGAGCTCCCTCCAGATGCATTTCTGTAAGAAAATGGACTCCTTGAACATGATGTTCACATCCCTTGAAAGAACACCACGTTGTGATAAGTGGGAATGTTTTTTCTGCAAAGAAACTGCTTCTCCCATATTATTTAAAACTGGCTCAATATTCAGTTTTAGTACCAGCGCATAAAGAAATAAAGCACATATTCTTTGTTTTAGGTGCTTTACATATTTACTTAATCCTTAAGATGACTATACAGGTTAAATATTTTACACTTATTTTTCAGATGATGAAACTGAGACATAAGGAGATTAAATTACCTGTCAAGATAGCCCTTGACATAGTCAATGACATAAATGAGGTATCCAAGGTTCCTAAGCTAATTCTTATTCTTTCTCTTTTTAATTTATAAAAAGGCTACACTTAGGGAGACAGTTGGGGCTGGAACTCTGAATTCAAATAATTTGAGTAGGTAGCGACCTTAGAGATGCTTTAGTCAAAGATGGCAGATGGGTGACATGCCTGCTCCCTGCTCCCGTGCCCATGGTGGCAGACATTGCTGAAGGACTGTGGCACTTTACGACACTAGTTCACAGTCCCCCTCAACATAATGCTCCCAACAGCTCAACGGGGTCAGAGTTCACATTCACATGGAAACTTATCCATCATCTTTCATCTGTCTCGCTACCTTACCATTGAAGAAAACAAAGGCCTGGTGAGCCTTGGTAGCTCAGTTAGTTAAGCGTCCAACTTCGGCTCACGTCATGGTTTCACGGCTTGTGGGTTCAAGCCCCACATCAGGCTCTGTGCTGGCAACACGGAACCTGCTCTGGAGTCTCTCTCTCCCTCTGTCTCTGCCCCTCCCCTTCTTGCTCTCTCTCTCTCTCTCTCTCTCTCTCTCTCCCTCTCCCCCTCTATCTTTCTCAAAAAATAAAAAATAACATTTAAAAAAGAAAAGAAAGGCCTGGAGAGAGGCAAGATGTACTTTGGCTCTCACAGCTAATAGGCAGTGAAGTCCTCTAAGAGGTCCAGGGTGCCTTCCAGGTCAAACTTTCTGTGATTCTACACCTATATTAATATAAGATGGGAAAACTTAAAATATACCAACTGTAACATGTGTGAGCTGTGAATACCAGGTCAGTTTGCAAAAGCATCTGCTGGTTTCCTAAAATGGTAACAGAGCTTTGGGCTGAAGCTGGCCAGACATCTACAGGGCCCCGGGCAATACAGGCTCCTCAGCCTTGGGTCCCCAGTCACTGCTCCTCAGGAATGTGTGTGGAACGACTCCGTCCAGTGTAGATCACTAATGTAAACTGAGCATCACCTTTGTATGGCCCCGCAGTACCCCACTAGTTTCGCTTTCCCTGGGCTTGGCAGACCTGTAAACCACTCAGCCATCTCACTGAGTGCCTGCTGTGATAGGACACCCAGATTTGGGCTTCCCTCATAGTCTCAGGTCTCCCTCCTACTCTGAACACTTTTAAATCCTTGGACAACTTTGATTAACACTATTTCCAGCACTCACAGCAGAATGTTCATACATACTCGTTTCCAGGTTTTAAGTGGAATAGAAAAATGCATATTTTAGCGAAGATATTTGACTTGACTCCTCGCTCTTTGACGCATAGTTTGGTTTAATCAATTGCTAAGTTAAACTTGTCAATTTCGTCTCCTTGTGGATCCCAAATCTGGCTCCTGTCTCTGTCTTTGCTCCTTGGACCCCATCATCTCTGACCTGCCATACTGCAGTAACCTCCCTGTGTCCTGTGTCATCCACTTCATTCCCCAAAGTGCAAAAGGAATCTCTGAAAGAACCCAAGTGTAATCATATCACCTTTCCACTTAAAATGCCTCAGTGGCCCCCCACGTTGCTCTCTGGTGAAGTCCAAACTCAGTAGCATGTGGTGTATTCGCTCCCCTGCCTTGTTCTCCCACTCCATCATGTGCTGGCTGTATTGAATCATGAGCCTTCCAGAAGTTAGCCACCACCTCCTACAAGAAGTCCTCTCTCACAGCCCACTTTCCCCCACCCCCAGGCTGAGTTAATTATCTTACTGTAGGCTCCCATAGCACCCACCCCATCCTTATCTTCAATTTACAGCATCTATTATAGTGCTGTCATGCCTGTTAAAGTCTGTTCCCTTCCCTTGTTGGACTAAGTTTCTTAGAGTAAAAGATGACAGTTGTGTCTTTTTCATCACTGTATCCCCATAATATAGCGCACTGCCAAACACAGAATTTTTTGAGTATTGTGAAATAATGAATCAATCCATTAACTTTCTCTGAAACCATAATTAGAGAGCTAATAAGATTTGTTACCTGAAATTGGGAAACAAAGAAAGAATAAGGTGTGTCTATAATCATCTTTTGAATAAGGTTCCAATCCCATCCCATCAGAAGCATCTTCTCAGGACCACTGACCGTTCCCCTCCCCTGGCCACACTGGCCTGCTTGCAGCTCTTCTAGGCATCGTGTGCCCCCTGCCCTCGCTCCCGGCAAGTGCTCTCTGTTCTACCTGGAACACAATTCCTTGGACTGACGGGGGAGGAGTGGGGGGACAATGGATCTTGGCCTAAATCATGACCGATTCTATCCCCAAATCCTCCCTAATTTTTAGCCTAGTAGTCTGGCAGCATAAAATTGTGCTTGCATAATTTACATCTAAAGGTATGTCTCTTATTATGAGACAGAAAAGCTTATTAACAACTCTTCATGGTTTGCTCAGTGAGTCTCAAGTTACTCATGGCCTGGGAGAGCGGATTAATAAACGTTTGTTCAGTATCTTTTTCTTCACATGCAAGAAGTCCATCCACTGCCCCCACCTAAGCCTGGAAAAACTACTTTTTTCTCACCTGAAGATGTAGGTATTTATGCTCCTTATCTTTATTAAAGGAGAATTTGAAACTTAATGGGGCCTTGTAACCTCACCCTTGTCTTGATAACTTGCCTAGCACTCTTCTTGCCACAGACTTGGGCCCCTCTCTTGCTCCATCCAGGCAATGGTTCTCAAATGTTTCGAGCCCTGGACCCTAGGATAAGCATCACCTAGGAACTTGATAGAAATATAGATTCTCAGCCCCACCCTAGGCCTAGCAGTCTTTGTATTAGTAAGTTCTGACTCTTAGTATGTGCCTTTACTAATAAACTCTACTAAGCTTGATAACCACTGTTTCAGGAATGGGAGTGTTCCTGTCTCTGAATCTTGGGCATCAGGATGCTGTCAGACTTCCTGACAATAACCAGCCTGACTACCTGCAAGTTTGCATATTGGCCAATGACCCGTCTTTTGTCGCAACACACAGCGGCCTGTTAGCACACCCGCAGGACCTCTTGCTGACCTTCCTGATGCGGCTGTTTTCTTTGACTAACATCTGTCATCGTAGCCTGTGGTGTTTGTAATTGCTGAGGCCTGCCTGGCTGGCTTTCATCTCAGCAGCTGCAACAGTGTTGCTTTAACATCTCCATGGCCTGCCCCCGCCCCCAACCTCTCTCAAAGTTCTAGCCCCTTTGGGTCTTATCTGACTCCTTACGTGCACCCTCCCTTTCCCAATCTTGACAAAAGTTTTGACACACAGTGGGAGGAAACCCTTAATTTCTAACTAAAGTCAAAGGCACCAATGACTAAATGAAACACAAAATTGCTTAGCTTGTTTAGAGTTCAGGAAAAGGAGAAAGGGCAGGGAGGAGATCTGCTTATGTTCTCTGAGTTTTGGACAAAGTGTTACCTCCTCAAAAATCAATTATTTAAAATCATTCTGAAAAATGCATGGTGAAAATAGGAATAGTCAGGGGAAGAAGTGAGTTATGAGCCTCATCTAGAATCGTGCACGGGGCAATGATTGATGATAAAGGGCGGGGAGCACATTCCAGAGGAGAAAGGGAGAGGAAGGAGTAAGCAGGCAAATGCAGACCATGCATCGAAGTGTGCTCAGATGGAGCGGTGTCCTTTCCCCGAAACATGCTGGTTTTGACCTGTTTAGGTTATGGAATTCCGCTGAAAGACGGAGATGAGAAAACCGATGAAGAAGCCGAAGGGCCGTATTCAGATGATGAGATGTTAACGCACAAAGGGCTTCGAAGATCGCAAAGCATGAAATCCGTGAAAACCGTGAAAGGCCGCAAAGAGGTTAGTCCTGTACAGAGTTGTTTTCCTAATGATTGGTGTTGAAGGCATTATCATCCAGGATATTAGCGATCCATAAAGGAAGGAACCCAGTGGTAGATCAGCAATTACATTTAAAATTCTTTCTTCAGGAAGAACCTGGGTGGCTCAGTCAGTTAAGCACCTAACTCTTGGTTTCAGCTCAGGTCATGAGCTCACAGTTTGTGAGTTCAAGCCCCATGTCAGGCTCTGCTCTGGCAGTGTGGAGCCTGCTTGGGATTCTCTCTCTCTCTCCCTCTGCCCCTCCCCCTGCTTGCTCTATCTCTCCCTCAAAGTAAATAAATAAACTTAAAAAAAAATTATTTATTCAAGGGGTGCCTGGGTCGCTCAGTCAGTTGAGCATCAGACTCTTGATTTTGGCTCAGGTCATGATCTCACCGTTGGGTAGTTTAAGCCCCGCCTCGGGCTCTGCGCTGACAGTGCAGAGCCTGCTTAGAGTCTCTGTCTCCCTGTCTCTCTGCCCCTCCCCTGCCCCTGCTCTCTCTCTCTCTCTCTCAACATAAATAAATAAAAAACATTTTAAAAAAATTTTTTAATTAAAAAAATTCTTTATTCAGATCGGATATATTAGGATCTCTGGAAGTTTGCAAAATGATAAATTCCTAGTCTTCCCCTGTAAGCAGAAGATGGTATTCTTATATAGCAAATCATATGGTTGTCATGAGCACCCAGTGCCAGCCCTACGCCTAAGCAAAGAAAGCAACTGACAAAAATAACTACATAGTTTTCTTTGAACCAACCCTGTATGAGGACTAACTAGAAGTTTATCTATAATAATATACTGTCTTTGTGTCTGGAAAGGAGGATTCCAGTGAATGGTCAGATCATTGTGAGCAATGTTCATTGACCTACCAGGCGAAGCACAAATAAGAACAGTTAATGTTTTTATAATGTTACATAAGTAGCCATGTCTTTTGAATACACACTTATAGGATAATTGATCCTTTATACTAGAAAAGCTTTAAAAAATATTACTATGATCATGAGCTATTAAGTTCTAAGTTGAAAAGTAATCATCTAATTTGTAATAATGGCACATTTCTCTCTTCAGGTGCGATATGGGTCACTAAAATATAAAGTGAAGAAGAGACCACAGGTGTATTTTTAGTCATCTGCACCTCAAGATCCCAAGACAAGTTATGCTAATCCATCAGCTTTTCTTCTAACATTATCCAGGATTTACACGTTAAAATAATACTTTAAACTGTGGCGGTGATAGGGTTTATTTTCATCAATCTAAGTAGCTTTTATTTCTTTAACCATTACTTCCATGTCCTGACTACTCCAGGTAATTATGCAAAGCTTATATATATATATGTATATCTATATATGTATACATATATACATATGTACATATGTATATACATATGTATACATATACATGTATATGTATACATATATGTATACATTTATAGATATACATATATATCTCAGAAATAGTAGAAAATTGTGTTATCTGTTTTCAAATTCCTCAACAACATTGAGTGCCTGGGACATTAAGATGAAACACAAACCCACAGTATACTTGAAAAGAGTCTTTTTACAGTTTAAGATACATCAGCCTTTGTGGTATTGTATTGTGTTTACCTCCGTTTATGTTATATCTATCACATGAGGATAGTAATTAGATAGGCCTCTGATCAGCAGTGATAGGACAAGGGCATAATGTAAGATATAGTGTGTTTTATATATTCTTCAAATTTTTACTTTTAACATACTTGTCGGTATTTCCACCATCAGCTGAACGTTTTCGAAACAAATATTTGAAAGCCAGGTCTCCACATAGCACTTTTATTCCTGACTAGTTTTGCACACTTGAAAATTGTTTACTTATTTACGACTGTACATTTATTTTAAGCTTTACTGACACTTTATTGTTATTTGTCATATCCTGACATGTCACATTTATGCCTCGAATTTCATCATCTCTTTTCCTGTGGGTTTCATTTGTTAAATTTGTTAGGTTCTAATAATATGAAAATATACCTAATTGTCCAACTTTAACTATTTTTAATTCTCTCCTCTATAGATAAGAAGCTGTTTTAGACATCAACTAGTTTTCCATATTTAACCCTACATTGGTAGTCAAATTTAGCATGTTTTTGTTAACACTGGTGACATTTTCAGCATTTAGAAGCAGTAGCTTTAAAAAAAAAAAAAAGTAGTAGCTTTTGTGAAACAGAGTCACGAAATTATCCAGCAGTCAGTCCATTCACAAGGCTGACCTCCTATGTGCTGCTGACTTATAAATCTGTATTGACTACATTTGAATCACTCATCTTTCTGGCTGAGATCATTTCCTGAATATAGGTGCCAATGCAAAATACAGATGTTAATCTTACATACTAGAAACTATTAGAATAGATATTAGAAAAATATATTTTAATCCAAGAGATTGTGAGTTACTAAATGTGGAGGCTTTTTTAGGTTGCGTTGATACTATGCATTAACTCTGTTAATGGTGGTGGTTTTAGTGATCACTCATCAAATTGGTACAGTTGTAACCATTCAGATAATTTACTTGACTGTTCTGTTTGTCCAAAAGAGAAAACAATGAGTGAGATTTGTGAGATCTTTGACCTTTCTACCTTTTAAGAAGTGAAACCAGCTGGCAATGTATATTCAGGACCTCCTCGGATTGTTGGCAGAGGATAGAATGTTTACTTAGGACTACCTTGGTTTAATTCATACATTTCTCTTGATACATTCTCTTAAAACATTATCTAGACTCTCTCACATTCTTCATATATGACACCAAGAAAAAATTCCCTCAACTTTGTTTCTCTGAAAGTTTAATTCTATGAGTGTCTTCATTACTTTACCGTGACTAATTTTTAGCCTTTTAGTTTTCTAAAAAGACTCATTTGTGTTCAAAATTCCTAGAAATCCTGATTATAAACTCTTGGAAGAGAGTTTTTATTTACATTGCCTAGTCCTAGACTTACCAATGTAAATAAATGCTACACCATGTTTCTCTTTCCTACCCAAAGGCAGCGTCATCTCGAGTTGCCTGACAAAGTCATGTAAGTGACTTTATATAAAAACATTACCTCTGGGGGCTGCTCTGTGCCACTTTATGTTTCCTAAGACTAAAGTATTAAACCTATTCTGTAATTATAGTAATCTCATAAATACTGCTCTAAATCGGAGGGATTGTTTATCCCTTTACACTCCTACAAACAAAGACAAGACCAGTCGCAAAGAGGTAATGAATGTCCTTTTTAAATCTCTCTCTCCACACAGTGTTCCCTCTGATCTCTTTCTCCTGTTACATCCTTACAGGCAGTGGATGTCATTTTGCTGTTCTATTACTTCCTTTCTCTCCTTTTCTTACATTTCTGAGATTTTGCTGCTTTTCTCTTGTGTGTGTTTTAGCATGCCCTTTCCTTTGAACTTTGTATGATAAGCCCACAAATCTTAGCCTCTTTTAAAGTGGAGCAGGCCATTTTTTGTTTCTCTGCTTTTGAATCCACTGCTTTTAAAAGAAGGAACTTTATCTCTAGACCACAGTGCCTTGCTTCCCCACCACCACCATTTGGTGAATGGGCATCAGACGCTGCGCAAGCCTATTTAAGGGCGCTATTTTGGTGGCTGTTGAAGTTTATGCAGAAATTGTAGCCGGTGTTTTATTATATATTTCTTCAACTTGTGCACTAATATTAACTATTTCCAGAGGTTTTGGAAGTGACAGTTGATCATTCTTCAGTTTACCATGCTTTTTCTGGGATAAAAAAGAGCCAGAAGTATGTCTTATTGCTAAGTAATTAATTATGTAAACCTACCTAGGTCCTGCACAAGATTCCCTCCACACGATTCACTATTCCATATATGTACGTGGATTTGGCTAGAAAGTGGTAAGTGTCAGCATTTGCTAATTATAAGTACTTGACTATACAGATTGATGGAACAAAATTATTAAAATATGTTCAGGGAACTAATCCATATGTCACCACCAAAGATTTCTACAGTGTTATAAAATATGTAAATATTCCAAATTTCTGTAAAACACTGGTTAGATAAATACATTTTATTTCATGTCTTTTTTTTAAATAACACAGTTTGAGCTTCTGTAATACTTGAACTTTTGTGTTGTTAAAAATAACCCAATGTTACCTTCTATGAAATATTAGTAATTTGTATGTTTAATTGGAATGGACTAAATTTTTATTTTGATTTTCTCGTATTGGGAAGATTAAGGAGTTAATATGTATTGACAAGCAGTTTCCTAAATGTTGTCCCGTATAGGCTGATTCATTGACAAAGCAATTTGGTGATTTTGAGGCGATCGTTGTTACTGTGGTAGGCAGTATATATTTCTTAGTAAACAGCATTTACATTTACTTAAGTTTACTAAGTTTTACTGAGTAAGACTTTGTGAAAGAAAAATATGGCTTTTTCCTCTAAATGCTTAAGATTTCGTCTATTGGTAGTGTCCTACAGATTTATTGTACATTAACTTTTTAAAAATTGACCATGAATTGATCTTTTCACCTCTAACACCTCTTAACTCTGTGTACTTTAATAGTTAAGAGAAAGCAGTTTTATAATTTTTTAAACTCTTTGTAAAGGCTATCTTTAGGCCTAGTCTGGGGGTAATTTTACAGATGTGTTTTTTGAAAACTTTAATATAAAATAAACTCATTTTATTAGTGACAACTTGTATTTGTGTCTGTGTATCAGAATACCTATGTTGGGTTCCATAAGTTTATAATATTTATTATTGAGTATGTATGTAATATTTTGTGTGTGTGTGTATATATATATAATATATATATATATTTATGTATGTATATAATAGATGACATATGCACACAGTAAAGATTCCAAATCACAGAACAAATTATAAAAAATCATATACATTCCGGAATGGTCACAGGATTACAAAAGAAACATTGAATTGTTAAATTGGATGTTGGAATGGGAAGATTTTTTAAAAAAGTACAGAAACCCTAGCTATCAATTTGTATTGGTTAGCTGCCTCAGACATAAAATATAACACAATTCAGTTTTATGTATCCTGGAAATGTTCTGAGGTTCCATCTGTTTTAAAGTCAGACATCTGTCTGCCTCACATTTAAGCTTTAGAGAGAAATCCCATGTTTAAAAAAGTTTCTTTGTGTTACTTCATTTTGATATATAATGTGTTAAAGCATTTCCAAATGGAGTTATGTTTTCATCTTTATTAGGACGTACATCCTCGTGGTGATCCAAAGGAGTTAGAAATTTAAATAAAAATTCAAAAGAACACAATGAATATATGAACTGTGGCATTTTTCCCATTTTCTTCTCCCTTTAAATGGTTCACTCTTCTTGAGAAAGATTTATGCAATGAAAATCATGTCAGAGATTGATTGATTGTTCCCTGGAAAACATTCCTCCCTTTTACCTACCCATAGATATTCTAACCTTGAAACACTCTCCTCATGGTCTGGTTTTGCTTTTTATAAGATAATGCTTTAAAATGAAATTTTATTATTTATTTATTTATTTTGTGTGTGAGAGAGGGACGGAGAAAGTGCACCTAGTGGGGAAGAGGCAGAGAGAGGGAGAGGGAGGATCCTAAGCAGGCTCCGTGCTGTCAGCACAGAGCACAATGTGGGGCTCAAACTCAGGAATCCTGAGATCATGACCTGAGCCAAAACCAAGAGTCGGATGCTTAACTGACTGAGCCACCCAGGTGCCCCAATTTGTTTTGTTTTTAATCCTTGATTCCCTTCTTTTCCTTACCTCTTATATCCAGTACATTAGTATTTTGATTCTGTCCAAAATATACAGGCTTACTCGTGGAGAAATTGCCAGTTTGTTTTTAGACCACTGCAGTCAAGCATGTATCACAATAAAGCAAGGCAAAGTAAATGTTTTGGTTTCCCTATGTATATAGAAGTTAGGTTTACATTTTACTGCAGTCCATTAAATGTGCAATAGCATTATGTCTAAAAATACAACGTACATGCTTTATTTTTTAAATATTGCTTTAAAATGCTAATCATTAATCACTCATAGCAGCTCCATAACAAATATAAAAGTGGAAGAGTTTGAAATATTGCAAGAATTACCAAAAGGTGACACAAAAACCCAACAAAGTGAGCAAATGAGGTTGGAAAAATGGTGCTAATAGACTTGCTCAATGCAGGGTTACCACCACCTTTAATTTGTAAAAAAATGTAACATATATGCAGTTCAGTAAAGCAAAGCACAATAAAACAAGG